CGCTGTCACCGCTGTCACCCGTGACTCGGACACGCCCCCTTTTTGCCAAGGTCTATATTTATTGGGCGGGGCCCTCGCCCCGCCCCCAGGCCCCGCCCCCACCCAGGGGGCGGGGCCGACACAACAACGACTATGGGAGGGGGCGGGGCGTGGGGGGGCGTGGCCCGTGGGGGCGGGGCCGGGCGGGGCGGGGCCGGGCGCCCCCTAGCGGATGGTGTAGCGCACGTAGGGCACCTCGATGTCGGCGTCGCTGTCGTCGTTGCAGCACAGCTCGAACACCAGCGCCTTGACGTGGCGGCCCAGCTTCTTCTTGGACACCCGCGTCACGATCTCTGTCATCCTGGGGGGACAGGGGACATGGCAGGGACGTGGTCATGTTGTGGGGATGGGGGACGTGGCAGGGACATGGTCATCGTGTGGGGACGGGGAACATGGCAGGGACATGGTCATGCTGTGGGGACGGGGAACATGGCAGGGACATGGTTGTGTTGTGGGGATGGGGAACATGGCAGGGACGTGGTCATCGTGTGGGGACGGGGAACATGGCAGAGACGTGGTCATGTTGTGGGGACGGGGAACATGGCAGGGACGTGGTCATGTTGTGGGGATGGGGAACATGGCAGGGACATGGTCATCGTGTGGGGATGGGGAACATGGCAGGGACGTGGTCATCTTGTGGGGATAGGGGACATGGCAGGGGCATGGCAGGGACATGGTCATCTTGTGGGGACGGGGAACATGGCAGGGACATGGTCATCGTGTGGGGATGGGGGACATGGCAGGGACATGGTCATCTTGTGGGGATGGGGAACATGGCAGGGACATGGTCGTGTTGTGGGGACAGGGGACATGGCAGGGGCATAGGGCACAGTCTGTCATCTTGGACAGTGGGGGACATGGCAGGACATGAGCTGTGATTTCTGTCATCCTGTGGGGACAGGGGGACATAGAGGGACATGGCAGGGACATGTGGCATGGGTCATTCTTAGAGGGGACACGGCAGGGACATGTGGCATGGGTCATCCTGGGTGCATGGAGGGAGACGTGGCATGGTCTGTGTCATCAGAGGGTGACATGGCAGGGACATGTGGCAGAGGTCATCCTTGAGGGACAAGGGGACACAGCCACACCCTGTCCCCACCCCTGAAACACGTCCTCCCACCACAGGGCCGTGTTCTTGTCCCCAGGACATGACCCTGTGCCTTCCTCCAACCCTGCTGTCCTGTCCCTGCCCTGGAGCCCACCCGTGTCCCCCGTGTCCCCTGTGTCCCTACGGTTGGTCGTGGCGCTCGCGCAGCTTGGCGGCCGGCATGAAGAAGGAGTAGAGCATGGACACGCCCTGGGACAGCATGGTGATCTCCAGCCGGTGCTCCTTCTGTGGGGACATGGGGACAGGGGTCAGTGGGACTGGGGGACATCGGCCACCACAGGGGTCAGTGGGGTTTGGGGACATCAGCCACCACAGGGGTCAGCGGGGTTTGGGGACATCGGCCACCACAGGGGTCAGTGGGGTTTGGGGACATCGGCCACCACAGGGGCTGGACCTTTCCCCCGTTCCCAGCACTCTCCTCTTGGTTGGGGTGCCTCAGTTGTCCCCTGCTCCCCTCCCAGTCCCTCCCAGTACCTTGAAGTAGGCGAGGAACTGGCGCAGGGTCATCTCCTGCCCGTCGGGCTGCAGCCCCTGCACCTCGAACCGGTCCCACAGCGTCCACTCCACCTCGTAGTACTGGGGACACGGTGGGGACGGTCAGAGCTGGGGGGGGG